TTTTGGAGCCTTTTAATTTGCACTTGATATTCTGAAGATTCCTATCATCACCTGTGATGGATTTTGGAATTGTAGGGACTAAAGACATAGGAAAAATTAAATAACTAAATAGCACTATAGCAACAAATATAAAGGAATTATTAACTAGATGTGATCCTTTTATACAGTGTGAATTTCCTTTTTTCTTGCAAACAAAAGGAAAATTCTAATTTTATCTTTCTAACAAATACATAGGACACTGCTTTACTATCACAATTTTCTACTTCTACAAAAGTTGGTAAAAGATCAAAACAGATTTATCCTCCCATATTACATTAATTAAATACCTACAATACCATGTCTCAAGTATTCTAAAAGCTTTGTAACGACATTCCAGTTTCCCAAACATTTTAATATGCTTGATTGATATTTGATAACTTGGATTTTTTTCCCCCAAAAAAGTGTTTGTTATGTTGAAAGCAAAAGAAAATTTACTGATGATAGTATTTGAATATAGAACGAACTTAATACCTACTATGTCAGTAATCTAAATTCAAGTATTAAATATCTATCTATCATCTATCTATCTATCTATCAAGAATTAGTACCTAATTAGATGCTTCTTTGATTAACAATTTCTACTATTTTGGAAAACACTTTAAATGCCGTATGCTTTAAAATAGAATAATTGTGGAGAAGAAAAATATCTACTCTCTAACATTTTCAATCTTTAGGTAAAACAAATCCTGTTTAAGAAGATATAAATCAATCTTTGTGATTCAGTCACAGAACATTCTATTATTCTAAAACTAAACCAAGCATCTACTGAGACTAAAGGTCTTGTAAAAATGTCTTCTTCCTGGGATTAGAGTATTTTTGGTTATAAGAACCTTAAACAATGTTAGTAGTCAGGTTTCTTTCATTATAGTAGCAGTTTTTCACTTCAGACAGGTTTGAATATTATTCCATTATAGTTACATTGTATTTGAACTTGTTTTCTCATTGTTTTAATCAGGTAAGGATAAAAAAGGTTAACTCTGATTGTAAATATAAAGGATTTTATGTAAGCCATATTTCTTTTTTACTTGAAAATTATAAATAAAATATTGAGAAAATGTGTAAACTCAAATACAATAATATCTGTGACCAGAGTTACTGTCAATTTTTCTGAAGACTTTCATCCAAACTTTGAAAAGAAATGCTTCTTAAAATTTTGTAATTATTATATACTAGGGTAAGAATTTCTTGTTTTCTAAGTTTGTATAATTGTCTATTTCCTTAGGTTTTTCATTACATTAAAAGTCAACCAATCCTTGATAAACCCTAGTATTTGTAACGTAATAATTGGAAGGGTGGAGGGACAATGCCAGAAAGGAAGACCCTGGATGAGATGGATTGACTCAGTTATTGTGGTAATGGGGGTAGGTGTGTCAGAGACAGTGAGGTTGGCTCATGACAGAGCAGGGTTCAGAGCTGTTGTACATAGGGTCACTATAACACAAACAAACAACTGGTATTACTTGAATAGGGAGTAAAACAACCTTGTTGTGGCTTTTGTGTACCATTTAGTAGAAGTGACCCATAGGTGACCCTCCAGGCCATAGGTGGCACCCCCAGTAGGTTTTCAGGAGCTGTATAGACCATAGGAGAAGAATGTCCGTCCCTCTCGCATGGAGTTGCTGGTGGATTTGAACACTGACTTTTGCATTGACAGCACAATTCCTTACCACTAAGCCAACAAAGCTCTCTAAAATAATCTTAGCACAGCAACTGTATTTCTAGTTTGTGGACAAATTTTAAGTTATACAATGATATAAACCTAAAACGGGACTGACATCGGTGTTAGGAGGAACTTGAGAGGGAATAAATAATATTTACTACCTTGAAACAGAAGAGGGAAAGAACTGTTTAAAAGGAATAAATGATTAGGTATTATGTTCTTGACAAGAGTCCAGAATAAGAGCTGCAGAGTAAAGTGGAGTTGGGGGTGAGGGGGTTTGGGAGGATGATTGTATAACAAGGAAATTTTTTTTTTCTTCAAAGAGAAAAGCGAACCGGGGAGAGGGGTGGATAGGGAGAAAAGTGTGCAACAATGTATGAATGGAAATCCAAAGGCTCTGTAAACTTTCATTAAAATTGAAAATAAAAAATGATATAAACCCTTGTATTATAGGTCTACTGTATGCCAGGCACTGTCCTGGGAGTGAGAACACAATGGTTATCAGGCAGACAGGGCTCTGCCCTTTTCTCACTCTATAGTGAGTGTGTGCTTTCTAAATATTTGTACGCTTCAACTTTGAATTCTCTTTCCCCACCCTGTATCTTAAACACTATCAAATACCCATTTATTCTGCAAATGCTTACAGAACTTTCTCATATGAATTAATCTTGAGTAATTAAATGCAACTATAAGAGTGAATACGTTGCAGGAAAGTTCAATTGATAAACTTTCTTAAAATAATTGTCTTCTTGTGCTCGCTTCCGCAGCACATATACTAAAATTGGAACGATACAGAGAAGATTAGCATGGCCCCTGCGCAAGGATGACACGCAAATTCGTGAAGCGTTCCATATTTAAAAATAAATAAATAGATAGATAGATAGATAGATATCTTCTCAAATTCCCGATATCCCCTCCAGAAATCCTTGTTGTTTTCTGCTAATAAGATAAAATTATATCCCACTAGTTATATTCATCACATAAGTTACACATCACAAAGTATGTACACATATTACTAAAATTCTTAATTGCCATTCTACAACTCACTTTATAGCGTATGCTCAAAGAATACACTGATTCTTATCAGTTAACTATTCCACTATCAATCACATCTAAGGGAAAAGATACTTAGTCTCCAACAACACATTGGAGTTGAATTACTTAAATAAAATAAAACAGTAAAAAATGGATAAACAATAGTGTAGGTAAAATATATAACTAAGTTTCACCCATAGTTTCACCTTTTTAAAAGATAAAACAAAATACAAAAAGACTCCCCCCCCCATATAGCAATGCTAAATACTGAAAAGATAAGTACTCATTAAGTCTACTTCAGCATAACAGGTGGTTTACTCAGTGTTGAACCATTATTTTCAGGTCTTCAATCACTCATAAATTGTAGGTTTTGGTTTTTAAAGGAATGGGAAAATAAGATCTATAAAGGAATCACAGTTATTATTAATACAACTTATGTATACCCTTATTGTTACAACTTTACAAACTACCAAAAGAGTTATGTTTATAATAAAACATCAACTTCAGAAGCATCTTTCCATTTCCTCAGAGGAAGTTAAAATACTACTATATCCCTGTATTTTCTTGGTCTCCTTTTCTTTTTACCATTTTTTCATGGACTATATTATAATAAATTTTAAAAACTTGTTTGTATACTCACCCCAGTAAGTGAAAGCTAATTTTATGGGTAGTGTAGATGATGTAGTGGTAAAAGTGATGTGATGAAAGTGAAGGATGGAATTCCATGAGAGGAACTCACTAGGGTGCATGCCAACTTTTAGGGCATTGTTATTTTTCAAATCAGTGGCAGAATTCTAGAATTGTTCAAAAGCAAGTCAACAACCAGATCTACAGGGATAGTATTCTTAAAGCAGTCTGACAGAAACAACTTGTTTTCTAAAATGACGACCTTATCTAAAGTAACTTTTGATATGGTTTTATGGCATTTAAAGCAACATACTTTAAAAATCAATCATTTTAAAGAGCACTTTGGATTTTATTTCTGTTAGTCTGTTTTTTGCATCCTTAATACTTTTCTTTCAGCACAGTCAGTGTTAAAACCTATATCTATTTTTGATGAGCATCAGTAACATTTTTTAAATACTCAAACAACAACATTTTGTTAACATACAGATATCTTCACTCCCTGTAAATATATGCAATATCATATTTGCGATACATTATTTATATAGCAAAACACACCTAGAAAGTTTATGAGTGTTCATTATTTTTGTTTCGATAGGAAATTATGAATAAAAAATAATAAAAATTGTTCAGGATGTTCATCATATTTTGTTAACATTATATTACCTTATATTGTTATGCAGATACATTCAAATAAGTCTATCACTTCAACTCTCCATGTGCCTTTTTTTTAAATTTACACTCAATAAATTTCAAGTACAAAGAGCCATGACAAACAGGCATGACTGAGAGAAGAGTAGTGGAAAAGAGCTTATTCCCAAACAAATATCCTCAAAAAAGTAAAGCCTATGTATAAAATCATCCTCATCATTTTTGGTTTGAAAATACAACTTTTGATGCATTAGTGAAAATACAGTTTCACTAAACCACTTACTCAAAGAAAAATCTCCCCATGTATTTTTAAAATTTAAAGTTCCTTTACAATAAGGGTGTCACAGACTTGAAACTTCAGATCAAAGACAAAATAAAATTGAGAAAGCCCTTTTAGTCCTCATTCAATCTCTAAGTCCCCTAACTTTCAGAAAGATTTTTCCACAGAATCAATTCATAACAAGTTACTTAGAGAGTATTTTTTTCCCTTAGCAAACTTTTTGGATTTCAGGAATGTCTCTCTCTCAGAGCTGCCAAAGCACTGCTTCCTGATTGTCTCAGCAAACTATATTTTCCATTCTAATTAATGGCTATGAATTCTAGTTCTATCTTCATTACGACTTTAATCCTTCATACACTACAGGTCTCTAATGCTTAAGGTTATCCTCCTGCTCTTTTTCAATGTTCAGAATGACAAAAAGAGCGATTAGTGGTGGTACTAACTGAAGAACCCGAGCGGGAGTAGTGGAGGGTGGGAGGAAACCAAAAACAAAAACAACTCCAAAAAGTCAAAACGGTCTCACTTTTCTTTAAGTCTTGTCCGACCACTGACAATCAATGATACTGGAACAATATTTTCATCAGCTGAATATTCCCAAGGGACCTAAATCCCCAGGGGTTTGTCCCTTTGAGAGTAGTTTTCATCAAATTCTCATTGAAAGGAAACACATCTTTCTCACAGGTACACACACTCACACGCACTTGGTTTTACCTGTTTTTATGCCGAGTCTTTAATAAGTTTTTTCCAAAGGGAGCCATGGTCAGTCAGCTACTCGGGCGAATTCCAGGGCTGTAATCTCGAAGTTTTTGGAGATAATGGTTCAGGCAAGGGTGGTGGTAATCTGGATTTCAGGGTGGCCTGGAATTGGGGTTCTGATCACCTCCTCTGACGTCCCTGGCTTTCAGCTCTAACTAACTCAGTAGCCGGCTAGGAGAGTTGCTGGAAGTTGTGCAACTGCTGCTTAACTTTGAACTGCGGGATTGTTGTGGCTGCTGCACCTTTGGAGACCTGCCCAGACTCAGCCTCAGCCTCCAAGAAGGCGTTTGCAAGCAGGAAAAGAGAAAAAAAAAAAGAGAGTGAGAACGAAAGGAAGGGAGGGGGCCCTCTATTGTTTTTGTAGTTGTTTGTAGATTTGTTCAACTTTAGGAACTGCCAACCCCATGGGCAAGTTAATACCCATGGAATGGGAATTTCACTCCATTTGGAAACCCCCTCTCTCCCGCCTTCCAACCACACATGGTGAAATGAGCACATCTAATGGGTTTAAAAGCAAATACCCCCACCTCCCCAACAGCTTCAGTTGAAAAGTAATCTGATCACAGTTTGTGTGAGAGAGGGCCAAAAACTCTTTGCCTACGGATTCCACACTAAAATCCCCTGCCCCAGGTGTCAGCATTTAAAAATACACGGAGGAGGAATGAAGCTGGAGCTCAAATTAAGGAGGACTCAGAGATTACTTGGGATTTAAAACTACTCAGTTCATTGCTTTAAGAACTTCACCGCCTTTCCCAATACCCTTTCCTCCATGTTCCCCTGTTTCTCTTCCAGAAGCTGAAGGACATGAAAGACCAAAGTGTTCCAAGGCTGGTGGACCACAACATTGCTCAGGAACCTGCTGAGTTTTTTTGTCTAATCCAATGGTTTTAACGCAGATGAGAGTGCAAACTTGGGTGTTCACTGAGCCATGGGGAATTTCAGAGGAAAAGTAAAAGCTTGCCCTGTTTTCCATCTTCCTGTCACCAGACCAAGTGAGGTAGGATGCATGTAGAACTCGTGGGGTGAGGGACAGGGAACAGGAAACAGCTTCACCTGAGACCTTCAAAACCCCAGATCCTCCCATGAAGGCTGAGCTGTGTGCGGGTGCTGCCAGACCCTATGGCTCTGCTGCTGCAGGATCGTGTGGAAGGCACTAGGACGTCAAGGAATTTTCCTAGATGTTTTCCTGGGATTTCCCCTCCCTTCCCTTTCAAGGGCTTCAGACACAGAGGGAGGAAGATAGAGAAAACCAAAGGACTGTGGTTTCACTCTGAGTCATACTTCAGTCCAGTGGCTATCTGGACCAAGGCAGAGAAAATGAAAGGCTCAAACTTTCACTGGGAGGGCCTACCACACCCAGACCCTCCAAAGCAAAAGGTGTTATTAAGGACTTCTGTAATCTTTAGACCAGTACCTACTGATCTACACAGGAATTTTTAGAGTTCAGGTAAAATGTTTGCTTTATCATTTTATACAACTTAATTATATATATATACACACACACACACATACACACTGTATGGGGGCTCTGGTAGCCTAATGATAAGAAGCCACACTGCAATTTCATTACAAAAGCACATGGTTCAAGGGAACCAAGATGGTGGCAGTGGAGGAAGCAGCACGAGGAACTGGAAGAGCAGCAAGGCACATGTAAATGGGCCACCATGGTACTCCACAGCCTGCAGTTTATCAATAACTGAACAATTAACCAGTTGATTACGGTCTTCAATAAGAATTGAGGCTCAACATCAAGAGGACAAAGATTCCCAAAAAAGAATGTGTGAATTCCACTGCTGCAAGCGCCCCCCTCCCACCAACTCCCCCCCCTTACTGGCAAGCCCACACCGCCTCATCCCCATTGGGCTGCTGTGGCCAGAGTCCAGGGATCCCCTCACCTGGAATGGGTGAAGGGTGCCAGGCCCCACAGCTGGTATGATGGAGGCCCACATGGTTGCAGAATAAACTTATTCTAAAACAAATTCTTGGAATCAAGATGGCCAGTGGGAGAAGCAGCATGAGGAGTTGGAGGAGCGGTGAGCCACATTGAAACAGACCACCATGGCCCGCCACAGCCCATGGTTTATATATACCTAAACAGCCAAACAGTTGCCTACTGGCCTTCAATATTGTGTGAGGTTCAACATCAAGAGCACAAAGATTCTTAAGAAAACGTGGGTGAGTCCCACTTCTGCCTACCACCTGCCACTCAGCCCACACTCCCATAACCCCATGGAGCCACTGTGGCCAGAGCTCATGGGTACCCCAGCCTGGACCAGGTCGTGGCCGGTGTGATGGAGCCCCACTTGCCTGGTGGCAGTGGATGCCAGTGGCCACAGAAGGGAATGGGGGGAATATGTTGGCAGCAACATGGAGCTGCAGGAGGTGAAGGACTAGATACAGGAGATCATCTCACTGTCAGTGAAGATTTCCTTAGATAGGTCAGAGAAGAGAAGAAGATCCACGACATGATAGATTGATACAGTGACTGTAGCAATGGGCTCAAACATACCTCAGATTGTGAGGATGATGTAGGTTAAGGGAAGGACTAGATCTGTTGTTCTTCATAGAATTGCTGTGAGCAACAGAAAGAGCCCTGTGGGTCTAACGGATAGAAAATTAAGCTACCAAACCAAAAGTGGGTGATTTTGATCTGTTGTCCACAGGCCAGGTTTAAATTGTTTTCAGTCAAACACTCTTCTAAGTTGTGTATCAGTGGTCTGTCAATTGGCTGTACAGAGGTAAGCCGTGTTTGCTGTGATGCTAAACACTGTGACACTGATGTGACAAATGCAATAATGGTTACGCATGGTGGACAGTATCTGATGGAATTCTCAGATTAAAACAAGTTGGAAGCAGGAGTGACATCCACTTCCAAAATAGCTTGCTTCCAGAAACTCTATGAACTTAGAGAAATGTTGAAAGTTATACAGGTATCCAGGTCTTTCCTTCATAGGGTTGTTATGAGTTGTCTATGACTCAATGACACTTAACAACAACAGCAACAGATTCTGAACAGCAGATCTCCTCAGTGCATCACATCTTTTGATTTCTTGACTACTGCTACCAAGAACTGTTTTGAGCTAGGGTAGCTCTGTTCACCACTCTCAAAGAAAACCCCTTCTCTATTTGTAGAGGGAGAGGGTAGTGATGCCTACTTTGAATTGCAATTGGGCCACTTGGTGGAGGGGAGGGGGCGATGGTGGCAGTGCTGGAACCAGGGGTGCTATCCCTGGCCATGGTCTTCAGTGGGGTACAGGGTCCAGACCTCTGGGGGGCTTTGGTGCAGAGGTGTGCCAGGGAGAGCCACCAGGCCCTCAGGTTGTGTCCTCTCGTCTCCAGGATATGCCATCTGTCCCCCAGGCAGACCTTCCTGGACCCTGGGGAAATCTGTCAGGTTACTGGGGAGAGCCACCAGTGTATAGGAGGAATTTTATCTAAGCCACTTTCCTCCACCTCCTTCCCAGTATATCTGTAAGTAACACCCCCAAAGTCCTTTTCCTTGTAACTCACAAGTTTATTCTCCCTAGGTTTGCTCCATTCACTATAGGTAACCTTAACACTGAGTCTTGCTCCAGACCTGAACCCTGAGCTCAGTTCCAGAAACAAAAGGGAAATATAACTGCCAGCTAAGAAAGTGAAGGTGGATAGAGCCTCAGAGTTCAGCCATTCCTCCCCAGTGGACTCATCTTGGCAAACACTTTGCAGTCCAGAGGGTAGAAAACATCAGGAAAATATCTTCTAACTGAACAAGATGGCATGCAGCTTTAACCCAGGACCATCAGTAAAGTGTTAAAGTGGACTCCCCTTCCCCCTTCCCCTCAATGCCCCTGTTCAGCATGAAGAAGCCAGAATCTGTGCTCTATTCCTAAATTAGAAACCCACAAGTGTGTAAGTCAATTTCTTTGTTTAAAAAAACAAAAACAAAAACAAAACACCAAGAAACAACATCAAACAGTCCACCACTGGACTATGCTCTCCATTACCCTGTCTTTTCTGGTCCCCACTGGATCTTTCTCATTTCCTTCACCCACTCCCTCTGTCCACCAAATTGTTCAGCCCTGTGATTTCATCCCTGCCCATTCTCACTCTTCTGCTCCCCACTGATACCCCCTTGTATCTTCATACATGTATTTTACAATTTAAAACAAACAAACAAAACACATGGTTCTAATTAACTGGTTGCTCTGTGGGAGACAGATGAGCAGTCTCTTCCCTAAGATTTATTGCCTCTGAAAACCCATTGGGAGTAAGTTCTGACTCAAAGGCATACAATAACAACATATATTTGTATATGTAAATACATGTATTGTAAATACGCATTTTTGTGTATGTGTGCGTATGCGTGCATCTCTCATTGCCTTTAAGTGGATCAATTCATAGCTGATCTTTCAGAGTGTCTGTGATTGTAAAGATAGGAAATTGCCAGTCTTTCTCCTGAGGAGCTGCTCTTGGGGGGGTGGGGATGGACAGTGGATTCCGATCACAGGAAAAGCAAGGCCTTTGGATTATCTGTGTACCTACCTATGTATTACAATGCCCTATTCTTAGGGCTGGTTCTAATTCATAGTGAACCTTCATAGGGTTGCTTAGCAGGAGTCAAGATATCAAACCATATATTGCTTTAGGAAAATCTGCTCTTAAGAACCTCTTTAAAATGTTAAAAAGCCAAGATATCAGTTTCAAGACTAAGGTACACTTTGCTATTTTTAATTTTTTTCTATGCACATGAAAGTTGGTTTAATGAGTAAGGAAGATTAAAGAAGAATTGGGAGATGTTGTAATGTAGTGGGTAAGGAGTTGTGCTGATTTAATATAGACAGTTGGACCGTATAACAGCTGCTTCTCAGAAGAAAGATGGACAATCACCTCCTGTTCTATTGACAGTCTCTAGAAATTTCAGGGAGGGTTAACTCTGAATTAATTCTTACTTGAGGATAATGGAAAGAGAGTAAGATAAAAGAGTCAATGACTTTGACTTCTGGTGTTGTAGAAGAGAATTGAGTA